GAAGGAAAAATATAAGAAATCCGAACGCGAAAAGACCGTGAGAACCGGTAACGTCGGTTAACACCACATGTACACGGTGCCAAATCCCAGAAGACTGCTTTCTTCATAGTCACCGCCGTGAAAGCCTCAAATCTTACACACAAATATTTGTTTTCTGGATTATTTAATTCTTTTTTGGTATTGTGTGATATGGATTTGATTTATATGGGTCAGGATAGGGAGCAGTGGATGGCATTTATGAACACGTTAAACTATTGTGTTCCGTAAAACATTTTGGAAAGTCTTTAATTTCTGAATTGCTGGCAGCTTCCCAAGAATGACTCAGCTTCATGGAGCTAGTTTGATTAGTAGGATTGTCAGGGTTAACTAATGTTCAGAGAAATCAGTATGACGGATGAACTCACAAAGGGTCTGAAGCCAGAGAAGCGGACTGTGAGGACTTCTGGAATACCAGTTCCACTTTCAGATCGGCGTCCACTTGTGGCGGGGACTGCAGTACTGAAGTGGGTATGGAGAAGAGGCGCAGCGCCGCGAACGGCTGGTAATACAAGACTCGCCCTCGAGGAGACAGCAAGTTTCCGAACGAATCGAAGTTCCATAGGCTCGTCTCAGGCGACAAGGCAATGCCCACCACAGCATCTGGCAGTGTAAAGGACTCTCCAGCGACCTGTAGTAATGACAGCGTTGAGGTTTGTTGTCTCTGTTAGGAAGATTCGGTTACAAAATCTACATTTTATCACATATGAACTGCGATAACCAATTCATGCTGACCATCTTTGGGCTGGACGACCATGGTTAAAAGTCTGATAATGTTAAAGGTAAAGAGGTGAAGCAACCCCTGTAACAGGCCGTGAACACCAAAGGGTTTTGAGACGTCGAGGCTCCAACATTTTCTAGACAATCTGCTCAGAGATGGCGGTGAGATTGTCAGCCTTACGCGCTGGACGCCCTTTACACCCAAGATTATTCCTGGTATTCATTTCTGTTAGAGGCTGAGTCGACCACAGGGAAATATTACGCCTGGAAGTATTAGGTCAATTGAAAAATCCAATGACCTCATCGGGAATCGAACACGCGACCTTCCGGCGTGTAGCATAGTGCCTCAACCAACTAGCTACTGCGTGCACCTCCCTGACAAGGACAGTGATAATTCTGTCAGACATGGTGCCCAAACCCGCTCTGGGACTCACCCAGCCTCCTATCCCGTGGGTACGGGATTCTTTCCCGGGTGTGTCCACTTAATCTTATGCTATGATTTAACAATGCATGAAGTTACAATCAACTTGCTATCCCTTGTATACCTTAATGATGTTGTGTTTAGGCACAGGAACAAATCAAAATTTAAAATTAAATTTGATGAGCGGTTTTGCAGTATATATTATACATAAAAAGGTTCAAGTCATTATAAATATTTTGCTGGAACAAATATTTTGAAAAACTCATATATTTCGAAATTTCATGCACGCAGAACTGGTGAAGACAGCCAGCCGAGGATGACATAGATAAGCCAAGATGAAGCAGAATAAGAAGACAACGTAGAAAGGACTAAAAAATAATTCTAAGAGGCGCTAAGTTGACAGATTATTAAAGGCGAAAAGAGAACGTACGAGTGTGTTAAATTACTGCTGGTCCTCGCCAGCGCAGTGATTCTTGGTTCCGAGCTCCATGAAACTCACGATCATATTTTACTGCCTGATGGCTCTGGGAAACAAGCTGGAAGGTCACGGGTTCAAGCCCGGGTGAGGTCATTGGATTTTTTTAATTGACCTAATCCTTCCGGCCGCACTATGGCCCTGGGTTCGACTCAGACTCTAACAGAAATGAGTACTAGGAATATTCTTGGGGGTAAAGGGCGGCCGGCGCGTAGGGCTGACAACCTAGCCGCCATATGTGAGCCGATTGTCTAGAAAATGTGGGTACCTCAACATCTCACATCCCTATGGGCCTCCACGGCCTGGTACAGGGATACCTTTACTTCTAGATGACTCTAGGAGCCTTGACGTTCGCTTCTTGCGAACAAGTCTGCCCACTCGTGTTTCATACTTACGTAATATGTGCTGTGGTCGGGGTGTGGCAGCATTGTCGGGTGGAAAACCCTCCAGGCTGCGTCATTTCGCACGTCGTACACGATAATGCCAGCGTTGGCCGTGTCGGTGATGTACAGAAAAACATCGTCACAGCTCTGCTGTTTCTGATTTTGGAATCCGTAGAAAATGTTCTCCTCTCCCTGAGCCCCAACAATTTCGTAGTCAATCTCCAGATTCGTCAGCAGCGAGTTGGGTCGTATTACCTGGGATAAATATGAATATACGGCATGTTTATATGTATATGTACATTCATTCGTTTTCATAGAGAAATGACTGTACAGCCCTTAGTTGCGCCCTGGCCTCGTCTTCAGTTTCGTAATCTTTTTTTTACATAGACGGTAGAACTCTTTGGACGGGGGATCAGCCCGTCGCAAAGTCTCTACCTACGCACAGCCCAACAGACAGACATCCTTGACTTGAGTGGGATTCGAACCCACGATCTCAGCTTTCGAGGGAGAGAAGATAGTTAATGGCTTAGCCCGCGAGGTCGCTGTGGTCATCTCCTTTAATATCTATTCCTCTCTTTCTATTTATTTTATTGCCTCTTTTGATCTTATTTTCCTGCTTGTTATGATGTAATTCTTCGTGCACTCGGTAAAGATTCTTAATAAAGTAAAAAGGAACACCTTATGTCCGTAACCTTGTTCTGGCGCCTGAACTACTGAACATATATGATATGGGATGTGTTCAGTAAAATTTGGCCGAATTTCAAGCTTACTTTATGTTTTCGCAGTTTAAGTTACTCCTCTGTCAATATCTCAGAGTATGCAGTATCGAATTATAGCATGAACGGTGAATATGGAATTGGAAATGATTTGGAAGAAAGTGATTATGGCGTTTTCCTAGATAAACGGAGAAAACCAGGAAAAATCTCGGGGTAGCCCGTGCCCGACCTAATTTCGAATCAAGAACCTCCCGAATAAAAGTCTGGAGGGTTATTGCTACATCAGTCTGCTCGGTTTCAACCATATTGGTCTATAATAAAACTAGTTCATATGAGGCTCTAGATTTACTTTCCTATATACCCACAAATTCTCTTGAATTTCGATATTGGAGTTTTCACAAACTTGCATTTCATTACTGAACTTTTTAAGTGATTGAGATTAGCTCTTTCTAAGGGACCCAACTGAGCGGCCTCCGTAGTCTAGGGGTAACGTTCCCACCTCGTGACTCAAGGTACGCGGGCTCAAACCCGACGGAGGTCGTGGAATTTTTAAGGGCGGAAAAATTCAGGGAAGAAGTCCTCCGGGAGGGACTTTAAGTCGTGGGTCCCGTGTCGTAGCTTTACGGCACGTAAAAGAACCTCATGTCCCAAGGGGACCTCTGAGCCAAATTCAGGACATTTCCCGCCTAACAGTAGTCTCTATCGCCTTTGGTAGATGGGGGAAGCATCGAGATACCGCTGAACCAGTAGAGGCCGAATTCGCTGGCTGAGTCGTGACTGATGGCACGCACTAGTACCGGTAAGGAATAGAGACTGGTAGAATATCACAGGGGGATGCACAATGGACCAATATCTGGTCTAAGTGCATGGGGAAACCCACCCTCTCCAATAATAACAACAACAACAAGGAACCCAACTGAGTAGGCGTCTTCCCCCTCACATGAGGACGGAAACATATTTAGTTTCCGAAACGTCGTTTTTTTTTCTATTTTCTAGAATACCGGACAATGGAAAAAGTCCAAAAACGCAGCAATCCTGTGTTTTAAGTAACTTCTATTAAACTGCAATGAACGCCGTAAGTGATTTTATGTACTGTTATTGTTTACCTATATTTTTATTTCTTTCTTTTTTCTTTTTATAACATGTTCTATATAATGAGCGACGTAAGGCAGTTTCGACTGCAATGGTCTCGGATTTTCATTGTATTCTCTTCTGAAAGCAATGAAACCGGCACTGAAAAAAAGTGGAGCGGTTCGATACAGACAGCATCTCGCAAGAGATCAGAAAAAAGAATGGATAAGAAAAAGAAAAAACGTAACCTAATACAATACTTACGTGATTACTTAACATTCTAAACACTGACTCCTTCCTTGGTCAAGGCACTTGTGAATGTCTGTTACAGCGTGAGATCAACATGACACTTCTAAGTAAGTAGCTGGCCAATGGGAAAGTGATATCTCCATTTTCTCTAGTGTCAGCCTCTAACCATACACTTGAAACGTAACACCGTGGGTATTAAACATATGTTGACTGCTGCAAATACTCACTTCTCTTGGTAAGATGATATTACGGACGAGGGTATCGGTTTTGAGGTCGAACACAAGAATCTTGGGTGGACAGACAGGCGAGAAATTGTCCAGGGTGGTGATGACGCCACTGTCCACGACCCAAAGTCTGTTGCAGCGGTCTTCCCGCGTTCGGTACACAGACACCAGGCCCGAGCAGTTTCCTGACGTCCCTTGCCACTCCCAGCTAGGATATGGCTGCAACCAAACAGCGTAACACGAGAGCTCTTCACAGATATGTCCGTAGTCGTATGAAGTCAGCATTGTGTGTGGATGTGTACACTCCATATACCCGGAATTTTAAATAATAAAATTAACGACAGAATCCAGACCGGCACTGAGGCCCACACTGCCTCCCATCTGATGGGTACTGGGTGCTCTTTCACCAGGTTAAAGCGGCCGTGACGTGAAACTGACCACTCACCTCCATCTAGTGACGAGTTTTGGAATGGTATATCTAGCGATTCTGCTAGTTACTTACTTTTCCGCTTGCAGAACTTACTCTTCAGATTTGAAGATGGCCACAATTTATTCCTCCTAAACTTGTAGAGAGGTTCTCACAGTAGTGGAAGAAAAGGTAAAGTTTTCCCTGTGCTTAACTAATTAAGCACTACACCATGAAGGCTTATTGGGAGTTGATGTATAGATCCATATTTTCTTGACCTCGGCACTAGTTGGAGGTGAGTGGTCAGCTTCACGCCCTGGCCGCTTTTTGCCCAGGAAAAGAACCCTCGGTACCATTGTATAGGAAGTTAGGTGAACCCCAGAGCCGGTCTGGACTATTTAGAGAAGAGAAAATTCTTTATCCTACCGATATTCGAACTCTGAAACACGTAGCCAGTCGCCATACCGACTACGCTCTCATAGTGGTAGTTATGACAATCGACATCTTCTTGGATATAAGAGCCCTGTAGTACATATATGAACCGACGTTTCGGAGGAACGTATCATCCCATCTTCAGGGTCGAAAATTAGCAGAGCATGAAACCAGCGAGAGAAGATAGCTAGGCAGAACTTGTTCCATATTACACGGTTTCACATCCCTGATGTTATGATTTCTCTATACTTGTATACTCACAAGCTGCAACAATGCATTCTATCGTTCATTGCTGCGGGTAAGTTCTCATGAACTTTTTAAGAGAAAACAGCGCATGACACGCTGCTGTTTGACGGGATAGAGACGCTAAAGGGGAGTTAAAGTGTGGGAAGATGTTTAAGTTATAGAAGAGGGGGGCGCTGTGCCCACTGACATCTCTATTGCAACGAATTGTATATACTACCAGGACATGAGTTCGCAATTTGGTCTACTGACAGAAATTCGTCAGGCCTCATTAGATATTATCCTGACAGAGTAATGTAACATTTACCGGACCTGAGCCATAGCACGTCCTAGTCAGCAGTCACAGAGCAATTACACTATCAATTTGCTGCTCAAAGTAAAAAGAAGAATTAGAAATGAGGTGTCAGAGAAGCCTTCCTAGAAATGCTGAATCAGGCTGGTGAAATCTGCACCCTATTATTCTCTTCATTGCAATTTGTATTTATTCCTCTTTATTCTAAGAAAATTAACAGTGAGTAAAACATATAAAGACAAGAAGACGTGTTTGATACAATGAGTGTCTGACATGGTGCATGACCAGTCCAATTTAATCACAAAGGAAACCGTGAAATCTCGTCTTCAGTGAATGACTACAGTGAGTTTCACCCACTGTTCTTCTGCGGATGCTTCTTACATGGCCCGGTATCCCCAAACGAATAGTTTTCGGTCTGTAGTGCATTCCTTCCCGATCACAGTGGCCACGCCGTCTAAGACATGAACTATCTTTGCCCGCTCGAACGCTGGGATCATGTGTTCGAATCCTACTCAAGGCACGGATACCTGTGTGTGTGTTTATTCTGTGTTTGTGTTGTTTTGAGTGTAGGTACCGGCCTTGCGGTCGGCTGATCCCCCGTCCAAGGCCCTACTGACTGTGTATAAAGGCGGCAAAGGTTTAACAAAGGCTGCAGAGCCATAGATAGTTCATCTAGTTTCTTTACTGGCAGTATCTAATATCACAGTCGAACTTAACTCACTACTAATATCTGGCATATACTAACGTGAGATTTATAAAATTGTATTTATGTCCATCAGCACATATACTGTATGTATCTTTCTTACTTACTTACTTACATACTCATGGAGCTGAGCCCTTCTGGAGGAGCCGCCAATTCTGCAGCTACTCAAGAATTTCCCAGCATTTTATGGAATCCGAAGGTTCATTACCGTGTTCACAAGAGCCCCCACTGATCCCTATCCTGAGCTAGATCTATCCAATCCTATCTCTCTAAGATCCATTCTAATATTGTCCGCTCACCTACGCCTTAGTCTTCCCTGTGGTCTCTTTCTTTCTGGCTTTCCAACCAATATCCTATACACATTCCTCGACTCCCCCATTCGTGCTACATGCCCTGCCCACCTCATCCTCCTTGACTTGATCATTCTAATTATATTATTATAAGATGTAGCGGTTGGTAAGATGGAAAGTGAATTGAATTAGCTCAGGATTGTGTCCACGGGTGGGCTTTGGTATTAGCAGTGTCGAAACTTTGGGATCTACTACCAGTATTCGTTTATTTTTAAGAACACTACGTGTTTCGCTGTTATTTTGAACCTGTAATGGAGGTGACTTTCCGACGTAGGAAGCAACTGGTTGATCAGGCCGAGGTAGCCAAGTCAGAGAGGCTGGTGTACCGCTGCGCAGGTTCGGTAATGCTAGGAAGATGCGGTCCGAGGTCACTTCCAGTCCAGTGAACAGGTTGTTCTGTGGTGTGTAGCTGTCGGCCGGCAAGTCATAGCTGAGTAAGTTCCACTCGTAGAGCGTCTCGAAGTTCTGCCTCGAAGTGACGGCGTCAGCCAGCAATGACGTCAGAATCAGAATTATAATAGCGGACATCTTCCTGCGAAAGAAAACGTTAGACTTTATGAATTGGTTCCTTCTAGTACGTCGTTGTTCCAACGATAAGAAGATGAACCTTGAAGACGGCTCACGCAAATCGCACCACCAGTCCAGTTTATTTGTTAATTTTATATTAATGTAAAGCAAAGTTTTCCCCGTGCTTAACTAATTAAGCACTAAGCCATGAAGACGTATGGGTAGTGGATATATAGACCCACATTTTCTTGACCTCGGTACTAGTTGGAGGTGAGTAGTCAGCTTCACGACCCAGCCGCTTTATCCCCGGGAAAATTGCCACAGGTACCCACTTTATAGGAGATTGGGTGGACCCCAGTGCCGGTCTGAACGACGTAGAGAAAATTCTTGACAGTGCCGAGAATCAAAATCCGAACCCTCGATCGATCAGCCCCTAGCCAGTCGCTATACCGACTGCGCTATCCCATAATGTTGATACTGATATTTTGTAAGGTGAATCGTCTTTTGAGTTAATAATAAAACTTTATATGAACTTGTTGCAGCAAATCATGAATGCCATTGGACGATTAAGCTAACGATCTCCTTGGACGAAATCCTTGTTGAGAAACTAATATTCACTCAGTTTATTCTCCCATTTATGTCTAGACTTCCTAACCAAACTCTTCCTTCCAGGCTCTCCGATTAAAATTATGAATTATTTTTCCCATGCATGCTACATTCCCATATCAACTCATCCACTTAATTTTATCGCCCTGAAAATATTTCGTGAATAATATGAATTATTAATCACCTAAATACATAAGTCTATATATTTTATATGCGTTTTATTTGCAAAGGAGACGCTATTTTAAATATTAGATTATGTAATAGACATTAGAGCAACTCTGAAACAATGTAAGGAATGATACCCACATTACATTGCTGTCAGCTCTGTACTGATATATTCAACTTTCCGTTATAGAGGTTTCTTTTCTGATATGTGTTAAGCCTAAGAAATTTTTACAATTAAATTCATTTCAGTCCAATGTGACATATAATGCCACACACATATATATATATATATATTTATGTCACACCCACTCGTTGGTGAGGGGGTTTGAGCATGCCAAGGACCCTGAGAGCTATACCAGCGGTAGCGTAGCTACTGGCAGGGCCTCCCTTGCTGGACAGGTCAAAGGGTAGGCATCAGACGAAGAGAGACACCAAAAACCAAAAACTGATGCCGGAAGCAGCGTCATCAGCAGCGACTTGAAGCACAGAGCAAATGATGCTCGAGATGGTTCAAGTTCGTATAGCAACAGGCGTGACCAGAGTGGTTTGAACGGCTGTTGTACTGCGATGTGGAAAGCAAATGGAAAAACTACCACATTATCACTTTTCCTAGATAGCCTCTTTCCAAAAAAAGAAGATCGCATTAAGTGGAGGAACTGTTTTGGAAGAGACTGTGGACCTGTCGTCTGACAGATTACTGATGAATGAATATGTCACATTGTACTGAAATAAACTTAATTGTGTGACGGACCAGAATGAAACAAATCAAAATCTAAGAAATTTCTGTTTAACGTGACTTGTTTTTAACAAGTTTAAATCAATATACACTCTTTTACAATAGGAGCATTTATGATACGTCATTGCACGTAACAGACTTCACTGCTTGCTATGTCTGACACGACAAGCCATGGGCGGTGTATAATTAAAAGGCGAATCGAAAAATCATGCGAGATATAATCATTGAAACATTTTGTATTTGTATCCGCATGTGACACGCCTTTTAGAATCAATAATCATTCATGTCTCTGTGTGGAAACTGTTCCGTTTAAGTCAAGGGTTAATTAAAACTCGCCACAAACGCTCTTCCAAACGGAGTCAACATCGATTTGTCTGTTATAAATGTCTACTTAAAAAGGTATTATTCTTCATTTACCTTTTTTCTTTTAATTTATTTATTTATTTATTTCATTTTTAACTCTTATTTCATTAATTAAGTACGGATTATAGTTGTCGGTATAGTGACTGGCTACGCGTTGGATGACAGAGTTGTGGGATATCGATTCCCGGTGCGGTAAAGACAGGTTCTGGGGCCCACCCATCCTCCTATCCAATGTATAACTTGAGCTCTTTCCCCGGTGGTAAAGCGGCAGAGGCGTGAAGCTGAACACTCACCTCCTACTAGTGCCGAGGTCAATAAAATATGGATCTATACATCCACTGCCCCATACGCCTTCGTGGCGTAGTACTTACTTAGTTAAACACAGGGACAACTTTTTTTCCCTGGCACTACAGCCCCAGTGGGCCTAGGCCTACCTCCATGAACTTCTCTGTTCACTTCGGTGTTTCTAGATCTTACATATTCGGTAGGACTCCTTGGGCGGGTGATCAGCTCGTCGCAAGGCCTCTACCTGTACACAAACACAGAAAAACGCACACAAACATCCATGCCCTGAGTGGGATTCGAACCCACGATCCCGGTTTCCAAGCGAGCGAAGACAGTAGATGCCTTAGACCGCTCGGCTACCGTGACCGGCCAGGGACAACTTTACCTTTCTTTTATTTCATTAATTAAAATCTTCCTTGCAGATAAACAGAACTTCCTTGAACGACTTTGATGTACTGATGATGAATGTATGATGGGATGGTGAACAGAGCCAAAGGAATGTCTACTTCCTCTTCGATGATTGGCTGGAGGATCACGAAAATGGCCTATGAGGGGATGTAAGCCTATTCTACCGAATGTGAGACACGTAAGTTTGGCGCAGAGCCGCTGAATTTGAGAGCAAATATTCAAGTCTCAATCTTGTATTTATGGGTAGATTCACGTTCTGTTTACATGTTAAACCACTTCGTGTACACATGTGTACAGCGTCAAAGATTTCTCATACGAATATTTGATTGTCTTTATTACTCATACAGATATGCTTGAATCACGAACTTTACATAACAGAATACATTCTCATTTCCGAGTCAGAAATATAGACCGTCGCTTGTCGGCGAAGTTAGTGCCAACACTTGCGGATAGAGGGTGTCACGTGGTCAGCGCAACAGTTTCCCACGGCCGTTAATCTCGGTTTCCTAGACAGGAGCCGCTATTTCCTTGAAACAGATCCTCAGTTATCCTCACTAGGCTGACTGGACCCCGTTCCAGACCCATTACTTCTCAGAAAATCTGGTGGCTCCGAAAATCGGAACCGGGATCTCTGGATCTGTAGCCAAGAACTCTGATCACAGGACCATAGATTCGGTCATCAAATATCGAAGTGTAAAGGTAAATGTTACCTGCGGTTAATTAGTTAAGCATTACGTGCGGTTATAGCTTCTGTCTTTCGTAAATTTTGACACTTAAAAGTGAGTGCTTAATTGCAGACTCAGACTGATTTACCCTGAAGAAAGGAACCCCGATTGTCGTTATAAAAGCTGCTAAGCGGGCCTACAAGGCATGCACTGTCTTCGCTCGCTCGGAAGCCGGGATCGTGGGTTCGAATCCCGCTCAGGGCATGGATGTTTTTGTGCGTTTTTCTGTGTTTGTGTACAGGTAGAGGCCTTGCGACGAGCTGACCACTCGCCCAAGGAGTCCTACCGTATTTGTAAGATCTAGTAAACCGAAGTGAAACGGAGAGTATCATGGNCCGAAACGTCGTGTCCTCTATTATCTAAAATTCCGGACGATGGAAAAAGACCAAAACGTCAGCAATTCTGTATGTGATGTCTTATTTCATGTACACTGAAAGTGGGCTACAAGCGTTTCGCCGTTACAGTGCGACAACTTATCCACCACATCTGTCATGCGGTTTGCTTTGTTTATGTTAAGGAGCTGGTATCCCTGTACTGTGCCATGTACAACGAAATCTTCGAAAGACAATACGAAATCGGTTATATTTTCCAAATTGTTGCATTATTTGGGCGCACAGTTCCCGTCTGTATTTACCGCTAAATACAAATTAATATTAAATATTCTCACATCTTATTTTATTTGCTTCCCTTGCACGTTTCATTTGGCTTTAAGCACCTTCAGAGGTTGACATTGTAATGTTTTGCTTATTAAATTAATATCTGTACTTTAGAGTATGTCACACTCTGAGTCTCTAGGAATATTTGAAAACATACGAAACATTTTCTGCGAAGATCTTGTAAAATAAAAAAGTAAAAAAAAAACAGATATATCCCAGTAACAGACAGTGGAGGCCCAGAGAGTTGTGAGACGTCGATGCTCCCACATTTTCTGTAGACAGTCACCTCATAGATAGAGGTAAGTTTGTCAAGCTTTACCCTCCGACCGCCCTTTACCCCCAGGAAGATTTCTGGTACTCATTTCTGTTAGACTGAGTCTACCCCAAGGTCATAGTGCGGCTGGAATGATTAGGTTAATTGAAAATATCCACCTCATCTGGACTCGAACCCACGACCTTTCGGATTGTAGTATAGTGCCTCAACAAACTACGCTACTGTGTGCCCCGATCTTGTGTAATAATATTTTATAATACAAAATATTAAATTTTACCTAATGATATGTATATATGTAGATATATCTATCTACCTAAGCCGGTCACTGTAGCCGAGTGGTCTAAGGCATGCACTGTCTTCGCTCGCTCGGAAGCAGGGGGTTCGTGGGTTCGAATCCCACTCAGGGCATGGATGTTTATGTTCGTTCTTCTGTGTTTGTGTACAGGTAGAGTCCTTGCGACGAGCTGATCACCCGCCCAAGGAGTCCTACCGAATGTGTAAGATCTAGAAAAACCGAAGTGAACCGCGAAGTTCATGGAGGTAGGCCTAGGCCCACTGGGGCTGTAGTGCCAAGGAAAAAAAATCTATCTATCTATGTGCATAAACTGTCTGTCTGTCCGTCCGCCCATCCTTACATCTGTCCATGCATCCATCCGCCTCTCTGTCTGTATGTTTTTTTAAATTCTTAATCCCAAACACGGCCGGTAGGACTCCTTGGACGGTGGATCACCCCGTCGCAAAGCCGCTACATACACACGGAATAAATGTACACAGACATCCATGCCTCGAGTAGGATTCGAACCCACG